TGCGATTGACATCTCAATAATCAACCAATCACAGCCAAGTTTACAATCTGCTGCAAAACGCGAGGGCCAATCCAGCGAGAGACACCATGCCAAGGAAACTGGGGACCGTCGGTGCGTGTTTTTCCAGGAAGCTGGGCTGAATGCGTTTGGATCTCATGTCCTGAAACCATGGCAACAGAAATAAAACGGGGGTTTTGTTTGTTTGTTCGTCTGTTTATTTGTTTGTTTTTGTTTTTGTTCTTTTTTGCTTTTTAAAAATTATTGATGACATACAGCTTCAACATGTTGAATAAATATGTAAAAGAAAGAATATTCGTGGATGGGTGGTAATTATCAAGGAAAGTCCTTTGTATAACAGGGTATATGTGTTTGAAGAGCACAGGGGGAAAATGACGGTAGTCACAAAATGGAAATTGTGAGGGTGCAAATTTTAAAAGCGTGTAGACTCATAACTTTATATTTGTTTGACTTGTGGTTTATTGTTAAGTGTTGTTGAATGGGTAATCTAACAGCAATAATCAACCAACAGTTGAACAGAAATACAGTTTTGAGTCAACAAGCGTTTAAAATTGGTACTATCATGTTTTTCAGTTTGTGACTATCGTCTTTTTCCCCCTGTAGTCTTCGTTTGGATCTCAAGTCCTATAACCATGGAAACAGCAATAAAACGGTCGTTTTTTTCTTTCGTAGAAAGTATTGATGACATACTGAGTAAACATGGTGTATAAATGTGAAAATATTTGTATTTGTGAATGGGTGATAATTGGTCGATTTTAAGGACAAAGGAGTTACTCGAAAAATGCTGTTTTGAGAAGATCGAAGATAAAGTTTTAGATCCTTGTTCTTTTAAAAGACATAAGGAGAGTTTTTTTCTATAACCAAACAAATATACACATCAATGATACCAAACTTCTTCTATAGATAGGGCAATGTCGACTTTTGGTGTAGGTCAAGATTTCTGGAAACCCCCAAAATCTGGGTTAGCCCGCTTGTCCTTAAACTTGAAAGCGACCAATTATTAAGGAAAAAACCCTTTGTGTAACTGGGCTGTATGCGTTTGGATCTAAAGTCCTGAAACCATGGAAACTGCAATGAAACGAGGCTGTTGTTTTGTCGCTGGGGGTTTTTTTGGTTTTTTTTTTTGGGGGGGGGGTGAAATTATTGATGAAATCAGGGTAAACATGTTGAATTAATATGTGAGGCATAATGGTGAAGTCAGCCGCTTGTCAAAATATTGAAATCAAAGGAATTGGCTTTTTTTCTATCTATAATGTCCATCAAGAAACAAATTTCCTGTGACGATTTTACAGAAAAACGTTGATCAAAGGTACCCAAATGTAAATTTACAGTTTCCATCGACTCTTCAGCTTTAGAGTTACCAAACTTTGGCAGTCTTTTATTTCTCGTTAGTTTTACCTCTAAAACCAGGTGACCCCCACATCCTTAAATCCGAAATATCTCCACTTTTGTTGAAGATAGATGGGTATTTTTTTTCCATTTAAAGCATGACAAATAAACAAGCTTTTAGATGATGAACAAGCTTTTTTAACTCAATATGCCAAAATATTGACGAGCGCCTGATTCCACGACGTAACGACACAAAAAATACTTATATTTGTGGATGGGTATTAATTCTCAAAGAAAACCATTTGTGTACCTTTCTCTCTTACACTACCTCTATCTACCCGCCTCTCCTCTCCTCTCCTCTCACTCTTCTCTCTCTCTCTCTCTCTCTCTCTCTCTCTCTCTCTCTCTATCTATCTATCTATCTATCTATCTCTATCTCTCTCACTCACTCGCTTTCTCTTGCAGCAAACCACACAATACTAATAACCTACCTCTTCACTCATTTCGTCTTCCTCGTTCTCGTCAACGTCCTCTTTACTGGACAGGCCAACTGCTTGTAGAACCTTGAGGAGGAAGAATAGAACGACACGTGTCACGGCATGTTAAAATCAGGTGCTCGTCATGGTTGGGCATATTATGAAGCTGTTGTTTTTCCTTAACATGTGATTTTTACCAGTTTGGGTTGTTAGCCCTGAGCCTAACCTCCGAAACCTGGAGGGCCGGTTTGACCTCTACCCGTCGACCTGTCTGGCATGGGTGGCCCTACCAGAAGCATTAGCTCCAGCCAGCGTAGCTCTTGGGGTCACTGAGGTACACAAGCTCTTTAACCACAACAAGGTAATGCTCCACTAGAGAGATCCACTGCCTACAACAGACACATTTAACTACGTAGGCAGCATAATCAAAACTGACAGCGGCACAAAGGAAGACATCATGAACAGACTCGGCAAGGCAAGATCTGTACACAGAAGCATGATCAACATCTGGAAGTCAGGACATTTTAGTATACAAACTAAGTTAAAGCTGTATAACAGCTGTGTACTATCCACACTCCTATATATAGAGCTGAATGCTGGAGGATGACTGATCATGACCGGGCCAAGCTATCTTCCTTTCATACAACCAGCTTACGCCAAATCCTCCGAATCTTCTG